CGTAATTCCACGAGTCTTGTGGACATCGTACACTTGGCTAAAAGTTTTGTAACTGGGATTTTATCTATAACCTGTAAAAGTAGGGGGACCCTTTCCCACGCCTTCAGACGTATTGTGTATATAGAGCTACAACTATACACTTGGTGGGTAATGTGGTCAGCATTAGGCCGGTCACCTTTACTTCCCAGGACTGCACTTGGTACCCACTCAAGGCTGGGTCAAGAAACAATATGGGTCAACCTGGAAGCCAACGTCATTTGCAAACCCACAACCTTCCGATCCGCAGGCAAACATCTAGCCACTAGTCCACACCGGCTTCCATCTGTAACCTATGCCAGATGGAAACTCCCTTTAACCCGTGTTGATGTCATGTGATTTCCCAGTTTAGCATCATTACACCTTAATTGTGTAAAGCACATAAACTAGAAATAATGTGATGCCCAAAAATCCATAAATTAAATCAGTATCAACACGCCCCCCCCCCCCCCCCCCCAATAGCAGTGAATTTTAATAAAAACTCTTTTGACCCATACGTGATCCTCTTTAGGCCTCAGGGTCATGGGTTACAATCCATACTGAGTTATTTCCAACCCCCTCCCCTCTTTCCCCCCAAAATGACCTTGGCTCACAGGTCAACCTTTTCAAAAATGGGTGCCAGGTAGAGTTCTGGGAAGTGAAGGTGGCCAGTTTAGTGTTGAGAAAAATCGCTGTCATTTATGATACAACCAGGCAGATGAGTAAGGGACACAGTTCATCGGACAGCCCACTGAAGGGACGACTACTTTGTAAGATAGCAAGATAGCCTAAGTAAATAACAGTTCACAAGATGACCAGATGAAACCGACTGTCAGACATCTAGTTGAAAGGATGACTAGATGGTTAGACTGGCAGACTGTCATTTTAAATTGTTTCTTTTAGTTTGTGAAAAAGCGCACATACACTTTTGGTACATCTAGGTGCATGTTAGACAGCTAGTTGAAGGGACGAGTAGTTAGATGGACAAAATAACCTCAGTGAAGAACGGTTGATAAGACTTGTAAGTGTACATGTAGGACAAAGTCACTTATGATACAACCACCCATACGAATGACTAGAGGAGATGGTCGGACAACCAGTTGACGGGATGACAATTCGGAGACAGGTATGGTGGCCTCATCGAAGAACAGTTGACAAGACTTGTAAGTGTTCTGTAGGACAAAATCATTATGACACAACCAGGCAGACAACCAGGGGAACAGACAGTCAGGCACCAAGTGGAAGGGATGATTTGTTGGTCAGACAAGTTTGCACAAGTACAGTAAGATGAAAAGACATCCAGAAACTTTAAGTGGTTGAGTGGAGAAAGGCATCGAGTGATTTAAGGTTATCAAAGATCTTGGAGTTGCTGTGAAGAAAGTTAACATGGCCAGTGAAACAAAAATATTCAGTAAGAAGATTTGATCACTAGGTCATCTTATGTTTTGTAAATGTCTCCTTGTGTTTTCTAATAGTCGCCATGTGTTTTGTAAAAGTCACTGCATGTTTCCCAAAAGTCGCCTCATGTTTTCTAAAAGTCGCCCTGTATTTTCTGAAAGTCCCGCTAGATGTAAGTGATGAGAAACTTCTTATAGTCCATACAGTGTTAGTCGTCATGTCTTTCCACAGCCTTCTGTCCCGTTTACTGTCACTTGTTTCTGATACAGGTGTTTCTCCATGCTGCCATTGTAAATTGTTCCAACATTTTCTGTGCTTCTTTTTTTCCTGCTTTCTCTTTCTTACCTATTTGTCTTTCTTTTCTACTTTTTCTTTCTTTTAAAAGCCTCTCCATCCTCCCCCTCCCTCCATTTTATTTCTGATATGGGATTGAGAGGTGCTGAACTACAGGTGGTCATTCACCAGGACTAGAGCCTACACTTCTCTGTGTGGTCATCCCAGAGACAGGTTCCCAGCTGAGGACCTCGCCAACGTAGACAGAATCCATGTTTTCATCACAGTCAAAGTGCATCTGCCTGAGAAGCAAGGAGTCAACATTCTGAACACAAATAAGCCACATTTGTAAAACCGATGTGCGCACAATACTTAGTTTCCGGAACAAGACCAAAGCCCACAAGTGGAGGAACAATTAGGACTTTCCACGGGGGTTGATAGCCGGTGAACGCTAAGAAGAATTTATTTGTTTGTATGGGGGTTAAAGAGAAATGGGAGTGGAAGTCTTCTAATTTGGGTAGAAACCTCATAACACTGGCTTTTCCATGCATGGGTGAACTAACAAAATGATGATTTAGTCCTGTCCTATTAGGTAATGAGCAGCATCACTTGGGCAGTGTGAGCTGTCCACGTTGGCTGCATCCAGAGCCGGTTATTCCGTTTTTCATTCATTCTTTCTGCTCTCGATGGTAATAACTGGAAGAAAGAAAGCAGGAATGAAATAAGGAAAAACAGAAAACAGGGAAGCAAGAAATCAAAACCAGACAACTATTTGCAGACACATGTTCTGAACATCTGATAACAAATCACAGAAAACAATGCTATACATTTTTCCAGCACTGCAAAGATCTGATATTTGAAATAAAATAATGCCATCTGACTTTGAAGGTTTCACACATAAACTGACTATTGGATTCTTTACATATACACTTTATTTCATTCTTAATAACAGAGGTTAACATCATTTAAAACATCTGACAAGTATCTCACACACATCCTCCAAACATTTTCCACCTCCAACATAGCATACACAATAACAAAGGTTAACACCATTTAAAACATCTGACAAGTATCTCACACACATCCTCCAAACATTTTCCATCTCCAAAATAGCATACACAATTAAAAAAAAAACAGACATGTACTTAATGGAGCGCTTAGTACCTGACCTTCTGTGAGTGCCCATCAATACATATCTGTTGTTTATTATATATATATATATGTATATATACTGTTTCTAGATCCTCAGTCGCAGAAGCCAAGCAACCCTGACATATAAAATCGTAACCAACAGTGGATTTAGCATCACAGGCCCAAGGGGTAGTAAAGACAGACATAAAATTGGCAAATCTTTTGTTAACTGGGGTTCTAGGTAGGAACCTATTAATGAACAAATGGTGTGTTCCTTTGGACTCAAAGAGTTGTAGGCCCAACAGTAGTCCTATAGTATTTGTTGTTGTTCTTGTAATCCACTCTAAATGACATGTCATAATTTTTTTGTGTTCCACTCCAAATGACATGTCATATTTTTGGTATTCCACTCTAAATGATATGCCATACATTTTTCTGTCACATTTTTTGTAATCCACTCTAAACGACAGGTCATACAATGTTTATGTTATACTTTCTCATTTGCCAAATGACGAGACACAACATCCTCTTTTTACTTTCACTAGACAAACAGAACACACATTTTCAGCCACAGTTCAAAGTGAAGAGCTCACAAAGACAAACAGAACACACACTAGGTAAACTAATACACAGAGGTGCCACTAACATACATCCCGCTCAGTCACATGAAGCCTGCACATGCACACATAAGGCATTTGTCTTTATTTATTAAAATGAATCAGCATAATTCCATTATAAAATGAACCAACCTGGCTTTCTGCATTAGAACACAAACTGAGCAAGGCATGAGAAGAATACAAGTGGAACAGGCACTGACAACAGGAAAGCTGGAGGGAAAAAGAGGCAGGGTGAGATCAAGAGAAGAAAAACTGGACACACTCTTTTAGTAGCAGAAGATTTTGCTGTGCTACAGCCGTCCAAGAGCGATGTTAACTGACATGACAAAAGTAGGGATATATTACTTTCAAACAGGCATACACCGTGCCAGATTTCTTTAGTATGTTCAGATAAAATGTATATTGTATGTTAACTCAGTGCGCTGCTTGAGACAATGAGCCAGTAGCTAATCCCACACAGTCCCTTATGTAGGATAGAAAGGGTTAACAATCACATGGGGAAACACCTCTATCAGAAATGATGGATAGTAAACAGGACAGAAGGCTGTGAAAGGCATGATGACTAAACTGTATGGACTTAAAAGTTTCTCATCATTTATATCTTCTCTCCGAGAGACTGCCAGGATCCCATTGCAGGGAACAAAAACAATAGAACCTGCTACCCTCCTAACAAGCAAGTCGTAATTGTCAACTAATTAGATGTTTCCTCCAAAGTAGGAGCATATCTGCCTGAGAGGGGAGGAACCAACAGTCTGCTTAAAAATAATTAAAATCTGTAAAATGGATCTGTATGCACAACTCAGATTCTGGAAAAAGACTAAAGTTCAGAAGTAGATGAACCACCAGAACTTTCCAAAAGAAATTACAACCGGTGAAAACAAAAAAACAAATATTTATATCTTCCGTTTTTAACTCATTCTCTCTGAACTCAAAGGTGAAGACTCCAGTTTGAAAAAGCAGCTAATTTCAGTTTCATGATTGACCTGTTTCAGTTTGTGCTGGAGGAAAGTTTGTTGATAAAATATTACCCCTTGTTGATTTTAAGTTAGGCAATACTGCAGAAGGTGCATGGTCATCATAAAATGGCGTCACACATGTGGAGATCTCAGGGACTGATTCTAAACGCAGGTTTCAGATACTCCACAAATAATCAAAGATTAGAACCTATATTTGTAGTTTTCCACAACTGGTACGCCAACTTCCCAGCCGATCACTTGTCTTCTTCTTAAAAATACAATGAGATATTGAATGTAAAGAAGATTCTGCATAATTGACCTTTCATTCTTTAATACTGAGGTTAGAGCATGTGTTTGTCTGAATCAAATGTTGATAAGCTAGAGCCAAACTACATGCCACATCAAGTGTTTGGCTCTACCAAAAGTTAACATATTGTAGATAAACATGACCATCATTTACTCAGATAAAATACCATTATTATAAAATAACAAATATACTGTATAGTTCAATAACAACCAACATTAGCTGAACAAAGCTGGCAAGACATCGGGGAACAGCTGCTGCAACTGTCCTGACTGACCAGGCGGGAGAGTCACGGTGGAGGACAGTTTATGTGATGACTGTCGGCTGGTCTCTGCCGGTCAGCTCCCTCAGTTTGGACACCTGGAGGGCGATGGCCACAAGTGGGCCCAGTGCTGCCTGGAGAGGAGCAGCAGACGGAAAGACATTAGCAAAGCTTTCTTCACAGGGTTATCTACGTGTTAGGTCACATGGCCTGTGTGTGTAACATGAGTTTGGTAAGTGTACATCAGATTACTGAAGACTAAGAAGAAGTGAGAGAAGCAGAACAAGAGGAAGAAGAAAAGAATTTTTTGTTAACAGATTTAAAAACCATACAGATCAAGTAAAAGTAAAAGAAGGTGGAGAAGTGGACAAGACAAAGTAGAAAAAGAAGTAGAAAAAAAAAAAAGGAGATAAACAACAACAAAGTCATCAACAAATGAAATCACTAGCATACCATGTGATAAATGCCTTAAAGATAACTAAAAGACATTTGAAGATGTTCTCTGTATCAGTGTTTCTCAAACATTTGACACCTGTGGCCCACCACAACGAGGAAAACTGATTCGCAGCCCACCTGACAGCTAACCAAATTCACAAACAAAAACAAATGTAGATGGCAGTTAACCTGTCAAATCCGACGTAACAAAATGACAATTTTCAGCTACTGTTATACAAATGTAGATGGCAGTTAACCTGTCAAATCCGATGTAACAAAATGACAATTTTCAGCTACTGTTATACAAATGTAGATGGCAGTTAACCTGTCAAATCCGACGTAACAAAATGACAATTTTCAGCTACTGTTATACAAATGTAGATGGCAGTTAACCTGTCAAATCTGACGTAACAAAATGACAATTTTCAGCTACTGTTATAAAAATGTAGATGGCAGTTAAGCTGTCAAATCCGACGTAACAAAATGACAATTTTCAGCTACTGTTATACAAATGTAGATGGCAGTTAAGCTGTCAAATCCGACGTAACAAAAAGACAATTTTCAGCTACTCTTATACAAATGTAGATGGTAGTTAACCTGTCAAATCCGACGTAACAAAATGACAATTTTCAGCTACTGTTATACAAATTTAAAAGTTTTAAAAGTCTATGGTTAAGCCCCAGCAAGAAAATAAAAATAAAAATTTTGAGAGCATGCATCTTCCCTGTGGCTACATACAGATGTGAGTCGTGGACTACTGACAGCGGCCACCTTTCCGGCAACGATTTTGACAGGCTCCCAAAACCAGGTGAGGGTAGGTTGAAGTTTTTTTTTAACCATCAGTGAGTTAGGATCTGCCTATCCAAACATGCAAAGACTACTGTCAGCAGAATGCGCGGAGGAAACCACATTGGTTCAACAGGCAAGACGGCGACACTAGCACAGCTCTGTGAAGTGCAAAGAGCATGCCGAGGCATGTAGAGCACCCTAGTCATCCAGTGCACCTAGACCTATGTCCAGTCATCTTGACTCTGTCTTGCCACAGGACCCAGATATGACTCAGGCGAGAGAGTGAAGTCGACGACTGCGCAACTCTTCCTCACTTTAATTCAAATCACCATGCAGGTCATCACCATCTAAGGATGGACAGAAAGGCGACTGCAGGAGATCCCCTCCCTGGCACAACACTCATTCCCTGTCCTCACTGTCCAAGAACATCGGCCTCATCAGTCATCTTCGTACTCATACTTGATGAAAAAGAGTGGTCATCACCATCTAAGGATGGACAGAAAGGCGACTGCAGGAGATCTCCTCCCTGGCACAACACTCATTCCCTGTCCTCCCTGTCCAAGAACTTTTGGGCCCGCATCGGCCTCATCAGTCATCTTCGTACTCATACTTGATGAAAAAGAGTGGTCATCATCATCATCTTGATGGACAACACACACACATCTAACAGTCCTAAAGTAAGAAAATAAGGGCTTTTGAGCTGAAATGCTATAGTAAGATTCTCAAATATCATGGACAAAGAAGACAAGAAATACTGACATTTAAAAGATCTGAACATTAAGAAAGATTGGCTAATAAACAGCATCTTGTCTCGAAGCTGAAATATTTTGGTCGTATCAAGTGCCATGGCAGACAGGAAAAAACAAGAGCAGAGGGCACGGTACCAGGAAGGAGGAGCAAGGGCGACCAACACGAAGATGGGCACAGGATATAAGTGACTCCTTGAATATTAAAGTATACGAGGTTGGAGAGCTGGCGAGAGACCGAGTATCTTTCAGTCAGACCATGATGAGAGCGACGTTCTGCAAAAGGACCTTCTATATGATGATGATAAAAATAAAATCTGGTATCATAGAGCCACTACATAGTTGAAAGGAGTCATTTTCCCATTGTTGGGAAATTTTCTCATTGTTGGGAAATTTTTTCATTGTTGGGAAATTTTCTCATTGTTGGGAAATTTTCTCATTGTTTGAAAATGACTCAAACAAACACTAAACATAAATTATGAGCAAGAGCGTGAGTGGAAGGCCAGTAGTTGTCTGAGTATATACCTGCCCAGCGTTTCCTCTCTGTGTGTGGTGAGTGTTGGCCTGAACACTTGCTCTAGTTGTCTGTCACACCTTGTAATGACCGGAACATCACTTATTTGAGAAACACTTGACAATTAAAAAAACCAAAAGGTGTACATCTGAATATGGATCAGACTTACCTGTGCATCCTGTTCGTACGCACTTGGATTGTCACTTTTCACATACTCCTCCACATAGACACGGATTGTCGCCCCTGAGCTGCCAGTGCCACTCAATCGGAAAATAAGTCTGGAACCGCCTTCAAACAGAATACGAATGCCCTGTAAGACAAGAGTCAAGAACATCAGTTATGAAGAACATCAGTTATGAAGAACATCAGCTATAAAGAACATCAGTTATGAAGAACATCAGCTATAAAGAACATCAGCTATGAAGAACATCAGCTATGAAGAACATCAGCTATGAAGAACATCAGCTATGAAGAACATCAGCTATGAAGAACATCAGCTATGAAGAACATCAGCTATGAAGAACATCAGCTATGAAGAACATCAGCTATGAAGAACATCAGCTATGAAGAACATCAGCTATGAAGAACATCAGCTATGAAGAACATCAGCTATGAAGAACATCAGCTATGAAGAACATCAGCTATGAAGAACATCAGCTATGAAGAACATCAGTTATGAAGAACATCAGCTATGAAGAACATCAGCTATAAAGAACATCAGCTTTGAAGAACATCAGCTATGAAGAACATCAGCTATGAAGAACATCAGCTATGAAGAACATCAGCTATGAAGAACATCAGCTATGAAGAACATCAGCTATAAAGAACATCAGCTATAAAGAACATCAGTTATGAAGAACATCAGTTATGAAGAACATCAGCTATGAAGAACATCAGCTATGAAGAACATCAGCTATGAAGAACATCAGCTATGAAGAACATCAGCTATGAAGAACATCAGCTATGAAGAACATCAGCTATGAAGAACATCAGCTATGAAGAACATCAGCTATGAAGAACATCAGCTATGAAGAACATCAGCTATGAAGAACATCAGCTATAAAGAACATCAGCTATGAAGAACATCAGCTATGAAGAACATCAGCTATGAAGAACATCAGCTATGAAGAACATCAGCTATGAAGAACATCAGCTATAAAGAACATCAGCTATGAAGAACATCAGCTATAAAGAACATCAGCTATGAAGAACATCAGCTATGAAGAACATCAGTTATGAAGAACATCAGCTATGAAGAACATCAGCTATAAAGAACATCAGCTATGAAGAACATCAGCTATGAAGAACATCAGCTATGAAGAACATCAGCTATGAAGAACATCAGCTATAAAGAACATCAGCTATGAAGAACATCAGCTATGAAGAACATCAGCTATGAAGAACATCAGCTATGAAGAACATCAGCTATAAAGAACATCAGCTATGAAGAACATCAGTTATGAAGAACATCAGTTATGAAGAACATCAGTTATGAAGAACATCAGCTATGAAGAACATCAGCTATGAAGAACATCAGCTATGAAGACCATCAGTTATGAAGAACATCAGTTATGAAGAACATCAGCTATAAAGAACATCAGCTATAAAGAACATCAGCTATGAAGAACATCAGCTATGAAGAACATCAGCTATGAAGAACATCAGCTATGAAGAACATCAGCTATGAAGAACATCAGCTATGAAGAACATCAGTTATGAAGAACATCAGTTATGAAGAACATCAGTTATGAAGAACATCAGCTATGAAGAACATCAGCTATGAAGACCATCAGTTATGAAGAACATCAGTTATGAAGAACATCAGCTATCAAGAACATCAGCTATGAAGAACATCAGCTATGAAGAACATCAGCTATGAAGAACATCAGCTATGAAGAACATCAGTTATGAAGAACATCAGCTATGAAGAACATCAGCTATGAAGAACATCAGCTATGAAGAACATCAGCTATGAAGTACATTAGCTATAAAGAACATCAGCTATGAAGAACATCAGCTATGAAGAACATCAGCTATGAAGAACATCAGTTAAGAAACAAATCTGCTGAAGTTTATTAAATGCTCATTTAGAATTTAAATAAAGACACAACACTGCAGATATATAGATAATCTATCTCAAGTGAACAAAAGAAGAACAAGACAAATAAAAAGAAACTTTCCTTTCCTGTCAAGTCAAAAGTCAGTACAGTTAAGACTTTTTCCTGCCAGTGGCAAACAAGCATATGGTGCCAAACCCATCTTTTTAACAGACCAAGTGGCACTTAATGGGTGAGATAAAGACTGACTACTTTCCACACAGGCTGTATGGGATTGCGAGACTTCATCTTCAACGAACGTGTACTCAACAGAGCAGGAATGCCAACAATGTTCTCTCTACTAAAGCAAAGATGCCTGTTTTGCTTGCGACATGACTCTCGCCTGGAGGATGGTTACATTTTCAAAGATTTCCTGTGTGGTGAACTGGTAACAGGGGACAGATCTGCAGGAAGGCCAAGGCTATGCTATAAGAACATATGCTCACGCGACCTGAAAGACACCAACACTGACACAGACACTTGGGAGAAGTCAGCTGCAGATGGACTCCTATGTAGGCAGACAGTGAAAGACTGTCACAGTTTGCAAGAGACCAAATGAAGCAAGCTAGAGAGAAAACCAGCCTCAATATAAGAGAGCCGTCATACTCGTCACAAACCATTGCTGTCATTAAGATGTGCGGGGAGGAATATTTTGTGATCTAGTTCATGCTGGCTAGCACTGTGAGGGCCTAAAGTGTCTTTAATGTTGTCGATCCATGTTTCAGTGGCCGTCCTCTTGCTTTTGTAGCTGACCTACTGAGATGTAAAGCCTATGCTGGTACTTGATGTTGCTGTATATTTACGAGATGGCTAAACCACTTGATCTGCTGCTTCTAGATGAATCTAGTACAATAAGTTGTTCCAAAGTGTTTTCAAAATTGACCCTGGCTCTTAGATTGACCTGAATTCCTTGATGTCTGGGAAATGTGCTTTTACACAAGAATTCTTATAATTACTTGAACAGTTTAAAAAAAAAAAAAAAAAACAACTCATGTTTTGAAAGAGATGAGGGCTTGAAGACAATTTATCACAAACATCAGAAAGGGAGAGTGGTTATTTTTGGGGCCATATGATGAGAAGGAAACTGGAACTTGCTGTAACCACTGGATAGATTTGTGGGAAAAGACACTTTCTTGACAGCGTTTTGTCATGGTATGGAGGGGTGTCAGCACACATCATCATCATCAGTTCTCGTTATGCCTAGTGGCACATGAGGCTTCAGAGAGGACTTTCCATGCTCTCCTGTCCTGTGCAATCTTCAGTGCAGTTTTCCATGTCAAAGATGCCGCACTCAGGTCACTTTCCATCGTTCGTCTCCATGTTGTTTTTTGGGCGCCCCTGTTTTCTCTTTCCCTCTTGTGTCCATGTGAGAGCTGTTGTGGCAGGTATATCAGAAGTCATTCTCATAACGTGGCCAAGTCATTTTCATCTTCTCTTGGTAATCATGCTGTTTAAAGTTTCTTGGTTTGTGGCTTGAAGTAGTTTAGTGTTTGAGATTGTGTCTTGCCAGAAAATTGTGATAATTCTAAGTAGACATGTGTGGTGGAAGGTGGACAGCTTGTGTGCATCCTTTTTGGTCATTCTCCAGCATTCCGCTCCATAAAGAAGAAGTCAGCACCCAAACTTATACATTCTGGTGAAGATCACAGACTGTGGAGAGGTATGATTGTCACCAGTCGGCAAGCCACTTGATATTGATGAGTATAACCTGTTTGTCAGCTGTCATGTCTCAGACAACAAATTTGGATGGTGTTCCAAACATGACAAGAAATGGCGTGAGGCATCTTCAGCTGTTGTGTGTTGTTCGATCACCACAAGTGATGATCACCAGTGGTGACTGGATTAGCTTTTGTGTGTTGTTTGATCACCACAAGTGATGATCACCAGTGGTGACTGGATTAGCTTTTGTGAGTGCGCAGATGGCTGATAAGGCCAATTCTAGCACTGAAAGTTCTTGAGCAAAATGGACAGAGAATAGAAGCCGCATCTCTCTGGTGATTTGCTTCAGTGTCTTTCCTGGTTTGTCTTTTCTGAACGGCTGTTCAGCTGTTATTCGATCAAGGAATTATATGTTGGGTTGTAAAAAGCAAGTAGAAATGTGCTGATCTTCATAATACACAGTACATATACAGTGCAGACCACTTCAGGCGATCTTGGATGTGGCAAATGTTTGGTCATAAAGAAACAATTTATTTACCTCTTGCTTGAATTCCTATCTGGATAAGAGGAATTTCTGATAAGAGGAACCATTTTTTGGGTCCTCAGTGAGTTCTCCTTATCACAGCACGCTAGACAGCTGTCCAAGTGGGAGGTGGGAGGTGCAAGACGTGGGTGCTCACTGCTTATTATCATTACAGGGCATTACTGTGACTCTCTTGCAGTCTGTGAGTGTACAAAGTTTAAGTCCTCAGTGTTTCATTACAATGGATATCATAAGTGATTCTCTCTTGCTTAGCTAGACACCTGTTCCAGGTTGCCTCACAGACTAGTGTCTGCACAGACTGCTCCAGTCTCTACAACTTTAATACTAATCACACACAACACACAAGTTCACTAATCTAGCAGACCCTGTGAAAAACAGACAACAAGCTCATTAATGTATAATTCTACAACATTTAGATCCACAAACGTAACTCGTTCTGACCATACAAAACAGTTCAGCCCTGACCTGGTTCTTGCTAACGCTGCCATCAATAGGGTCTGTGTATTCAAAGTTGTCGGCCACTGCAACCTTGTACTTCTGACCTGTCGGGGCAGTCAGGGTGGTGCCTTTGCTGTTTGGGTTCTTGATGAAAGCCTCCAGCCCTGCTATCAGCTTCTCTCCTGCCTCCGATGACACATTCTCATAATCATATCTGAGGCAGGGAGGGAAAATATAACCAGGTTAATAAGTATATGGGAGGGGAGGGGGGGGGGGAATAGATCTGTTGAGGGCACAGTCACAACCATTCATATCCATACTGAAGGGAACAGATAACACATTTGAAGAATTATTTTTTCAAGGAACAAATAACATATTTGTAACATAATTGATCAGGAAATGGTTAAAACAATATGGAATCATCTTTATGTTATTTATTGCTTACTAAATCTGTAAGGAACAAAAAAACATATCTGTAGAATAATTTATCAGGAAACTTATAAAAAAATCTGTTGAATCATAATATCAGGGAACAGATAACACATCAGTGACATCAGACTGAGAGGAAAGAAAGGGGGCCGGATACCTATACCAGCGTTTCTACACAAGACTCGTTTCATCATCCCTCTAGATGGGGGACAATGTATCAGACTAAAGACAGATCACAACAGACTTCACCAACAATGTTTACATTGGGGAGGGGGAGGGGGGTGCGCATGTATGTGTGTAGAGGAAACATGGAGATGTGTCCCTGCAACGTGGGACCTGAAAGCACTGAAGATATACTCCAATACTGCCAACTGCCAACAGAGAATCCATCTGGCCTGTCCCAACCTCAATCAAGACAAAGCTGTTTATCTCACAGGAAGATTTGGAGCATATGATAGCTTTCATCAAGGTTACTAGTCTCCTGATATTAGTTTTTCTGACAGAAGCATCCAAAAAGAGGAACAAGAAACCACCATTTTACCCAGTTTAGAAGTCCCAGATAAACTAGTCACATCATCAGTGAATATCCATTTAGCACCATTTTATACAGTATAGAAGAAATATAATTTTTAGCACCATTTTACCCAGTTTGTCTGTTTCTCCTATATAAACTAACCACATCCTCAATGAATATCCATTTAGCACCATTTTTACCTAGTATAGAAGTCCCAGGTATAGCATTTTACACAGTATAGCATTTTACCCAGTATAGTGTTTAACCCAGTATAGCATTTTACCCAGTATAGCATTTTACCCAGTATAGCATTTTACCCAGTTTGTCTGTTTTTCCTATATAAACTAACCACATCCTCAATGAATATCCATTTAGCACCATTTTACCTAGTATAGCATTTTACCCAGTTTGTCTGTTTCTCCTATATAAACTAACCACATCCTCAAAGAATATCCATTTAGCACCATTTTACCTAGTATAGAAGTCCCAGGTATAGCATTTAACCCAGTATAGCATTTTACCCAGTATAGCATTTTACCCAGTTTGTCTGTTTGTCTTAAATAAACTAACCACATCCTCAATGAATATCCATTTAGCACCATTTTACCTAGTATAGAAGTCCCAGGTATAGCATTTTACCCAGTATAGCATTTTACCCAGTTTGTCTGTTTTTCCTATATAAACTAACCACATCCTCAATAAATATCCATTTAGCACCATTTTACCTAGTATAGAAGTCCCAGGTATAGCATTTTACCCAGTATAGCCTTTAACCCAGTATAGCATTTTACCCAGTATAGCATTTTACCCAGTTTGTCTGTTTTTCCTATATAAACTAACCACATCCTCAATAAATATCCATTTAGCACCATTTTACCTAGTATAGAAGTCCTAGGTATAGCATTTTACCCAGTATAGCATTTTACCCAGTATAGCATTTAACCCAGTATAGCATTTTACCCAGTATAGCATTTTACCCAGTTTGTCCTATATAAACTAACCATATCCTCAATGAATATCCATTTAGCACCATTTTACCTAGTATAGAAGTCCCAGATAAACTAACCACATCATAGATGTATACAAATTTAGCAAATTTAGGACTCACAGAACACAGTAATTTACCAATCTTCCATGTCTATAACTATGGTTGGTTATAATACAGAAATGGAATATAAAATGATATCAGGGTCAGGTCAATGCATAGGTTGACTCACCTGGTAAAGAAGTTTCGTCCATAAATGTTCCAGTGATCCAAGAGAACATCCTGCACTGTCTTCTTGGTGCTGGCCAGCACGGACAGCCAGGCTAGAGCTGCCCAGACACCATCTTTCTCCCTGTACCAACAAATTAGATCTGTCAAATATCATGTGGGGGAACTGAGATGGTGCAGTGGCTAGACACTTCCCTGCAGGCCCTACAGTCTTGGGTTCACATCCACATGAAGGCAGATGTTTAACTCTTTCAGTCCCCAAAAGAAAGCAAGATGGATGGTTAGTCTTTTCCTTTGGATTAGTTGAGTCATGCAATGCTTGCCTTAATTTTTCACATGCTGTCATAGCATATCAAGAAAATCTAGCTTCCACAGTGGGTGCTTGAGAGCGCTGTAGTCTTCTTGGTCTGCTTCATGGTCTACAAGCATTCAACTCCCTTGTGAACAGTTTTTACCTCTCTGTCATCTGACATTCTCTCAATACGCCTCAGCCATTTCAGTCTATTAGCTCTCATGATGCCAGTGATCAAGGGTGATTTCAACAGACTGGTGAAAGCATGGAAATGAAAATGTAGGATTTAAAAGTGCTGATACACACAAAAGTGCACATGGACCAAGGTACAAACTTGACATAGGTGCCCGACCAGCAGCTTGGCCAATGTAGAGAGAATTGACAATTTCTTCAAAGTTGGACTAGATTCGTGTGAGAGATGAGAAATCAAGTCTGCAGGTAAGAAGATCTGTAAAACAGATGTGCATGCAACATTTAAGTCCTGGAACAAGAACAAAGTCTGGAAGTGGATGAAAAACCAGGACCTTCTGCAAGAGTTTATGGTCAGTGAGCTCCGAGAAGAAGAAGCAATCAGTTTAAGTGTAAAGTTAAACAAAACAAAAAAAAAAAAAAAAAAAAAAAAAAGACGGAGAGAAGTGGTGGAAGCTAAAGTTTTAAAGTTGATGGGTGTGTAGTCCAAAAGATAGAAATTTCAGTCGTTAAAATAAGGTAAGTGTGATTTGTGGAAATGATTTGTAAACTGCATGGTGGGTCTCAGGCAGTATTTCAACCCTTGCGGGGCCCACTCCTCTCCAGGTGGCTGTTTCTCCTTTAGCCTGTATCCTCAGGGATACAGTTTCCAGCCTGCAGCACGGGGAGGTGGGGTCGGCTTATGCGATCACAAGACAGTAGCAGGCTCCTCAATTTGTCACTTGTTACCCTCCTAAGAGTGCTAGCTGCCCCTGTCACAACAAGAAAGACCTGGTTACAGAACCTGACTGACTGGACAGGCCTCAGGCATGCAACCATGTCCATTGCAACTGACTGCCAAAGGTGGAGAGAGCTGATCAGACAGTCAACAGAAACTAGTGAGCCAACAACACATAGTGTTACAGAATGATTATGATGATGAAGATGATGATTTATAAACTAGGTACAATGATGTATTCCAAGACTGGTGAAACTATGGGTTTCGTCATCAGTGAGAGATGTTGTCCAACAGTTTAGGTCCTGACGGTGCAGGACTTCTTTCAAAAATGACCTTGGTTCCCAGGTTAACAAACCCTAAAATGGATACAAGGTAGTCCTGGGAAGTAAAGGTGGCCAGCACTCAGGGGCCGACTGGTCTATGAAATATTGGCCTAGCCCTATATGCCCAATACACCTAAAGGCATGAAAAAAGGCTTCTACTTCTTCCCTTTTAACTGTAGTCCAACAGACTATGCTACTCAGGGAAAGATTACCTGATGTGCGTAGAGCCAGTTCCAAAACTCTCCTCTCCACACAGACTGATCTTGTCTGCATCCATCAGGTTGCCAAAGAACTTCCAGCCAGTTGGGGTTTGGTAGCAATCCTTGCCTAGACGTTGTGCTACTCTGTTGTGGACAGACAAGAAGACAACAAAATGGTGAAGATGTCTGTATTCAAACTGTCAGACCCTGAACTGTCTGTACTCTGCTATCTCTTCAAATCATATTCCTCACTTCCTAGCTCTGTAAATCCGAACCACTGATAGGTAGACTACATCTGATATTCCAACTCATCATACCTGAACTACCAACTGCCACCATATGAACAGAAGATCTTCAGAACTCCTTAGACAGCCAAAGAGAATAACCCAGATATTTTAAAAGTGTGAAGCCTTGAATACAACTTACCACAAACATCAGACGGAGACAGTCATAATTTCTTGGTCATATTAACGAGAAGAGGGAAACTGGAATGTGCCATGACCACTGGAAAGATATGTGATAAAAGAGACAAAGAAAGACAATGCAAAATTATTCTTGACAGCCGCATGTCATGGCATAGAGGGTTGTCAGCACATGAACTGATAGATGCTGTTGAAGACTGCAGATTGTGGAAAGGCCCGATTGCCCACGCTGGTCAGGCAAGGCATGTGATGGCCATCAAGAATAAGATTTTCGGCACAGAGCTAATACTTCTTCTTTTTATGTTCGCTTTAGAAGGCAGTTGGCATGTGGTGGGCTGGGCTGCGATATTTGTGCCTTTCACCCAAACATGTCCACCTTCAACTAGCTCTTTAATTAGATGCCATTTATGACTTGCTCAGTGAGTTCTATGGGCCTAACCCCCTATCACCTCCCCCTCCCACCCAAAAAAAAAATTGGGCCTCAGAACCTATCCAATACTGGGAAAACTGCCAATACTACAGACCAGGCTTGTATTTATGCAGTCAATTATTTTACACCTCGTCAGCTAAACTTTAGCATCTCTAATGCCATGCTATTTTTATGCCAGCACGCTAAACTAGTGCGGGTTTTATAATGATAAGAGCAATTAAACTACTACAAGTGGTACTTTGCCGTCCCAACAATTCTGCCATCCTGGGTGGCTGAACATGTTGCACAATGCCTAAATAAGGTGCTGCTACTATTGCTGCAGTTCTTCTTCTTCTTCAGCATTCCGAGCCCTTGAGGTTCATTGCTACAGATATCGCCCACCTCCACTCGTTTCTCTGGTTGGCCTTCTTTTTCCAGTTGGTGACGCCAAGTGTTTGCATGTCTGTCTGGACATTCTATTGTCTTCTTAGTCTGTCTCGTGGTCTACGACCATTCATCTCCTATGTGAATACAGTTGTTACTTCTCTGTCATCTGACATTCTTTCAATATATCCCTGACAATTTCAGTCTATTAGCTCTCATGATACTGCTGCAGTTACCACAACGTTCTTACAACTGCCAAACACAAAAATGCTCATTACTGCCTATATTTACCACTTCTGCGATGTAGGCTGAGAGGGTGGGGAAGGGGGGGGGGGAGGGTGCGGAATGAGCCTGAGGGTTTAGGGCCATATGGTTGGTGCTGTCGCTACGGACTGTGCAGGTTAGGATTTAATTTTTGCCCCTGACAGAACAAAAAATCCATGATCTTACCAACGACTGGTCCAGGGCTATTACAACTGTCACCATTAATATGGCTTTCGGCAATGCTGATAACCATTGGAGTATCAACAACAATGGCAGTTACATCTGTAAAAATTAAAGACTTACTTATCAACAGCTTCAGATGTGGGCATGCTCCTGGCAAACCCTTTGACCCCATTCTGTCTGAAGTATGGGATGCTCTCCAGGTTAGCTGCAAGCACGGCCAGGGAATCACACGGAGTCACAAAGAAAGCTCTGTGACCCAGAATCATGTTACGATCCTGGAAAGGAACAAGAGTTATCTGTAACGTAACATACAGGTAGACACAAGCCAGACTGCTACATGAGCATACGTCATGGATTATTCAATAATCAATAAACAGCAAGTCCTTTACAGAACATTGCACTCTTCACGGTATGCCTGAAAGTCTTTCTTTTGCTAGACAATTCCCCAGCCCTGTGTGCTTTCATAGCCAAGGCCTCTTCAATATCATGTATCCACCTACATACAGGTCTGCCTGTGCTTAACTTTCCCACAACTGCACTATCCATCACCATTCTCTTCAGACCACCATGGTACTTGAGATGTCCACAATACCTCAGCTTCTGGGGGGAGGATGCTGTTGACGAGGCAAGTCTACTTGATGTTCCGGTCATGCAGAATATCAGTGCTCCTCTTCTTCTTGCTCCAATGTCTCTGTGGATCGTTATTTCCTATACATTTCCCCAGGCCTACTTGCACTTCTATAGCTAATCATTGTTTGTCAATTCTCCTTACATTTAAAGATTTGTTATCCATTTCAATACACCAAATCTTCACATTTCACTGCATTGTTTTTTCAATAATTCACATTTTATCACATCAGGTCTAATAATTAATATTCCACGACATTTTCCATCAGCTTAAACAGCAGCTGGCCGAATGGTTAGAACTCTAGGCTCTCATGTGAAAAACCTGGGTTTGAATTTTTGGTAAGGTGATGGAAGTTTTTTCTTCTGGGGTAACAATAAACATACTAACCTGCACAGTTCGTGGCGACTGCATTAGCCATGCGACCTTTTACCCTCCGGCTCAAGAGTTCATGCAGGCAAACATTTTTTAAGGGTCACAAACTGGATTTGTAATTCTAAAATACATGGTTCCATTTAAGGTTCTATTCAACTGCCTTAGTTTTATTTAGGACAATGGTATGGAACACTGACCATTCTGAAAGCAATGGCAAATTACTGGATTCTAAAATGCATTGAAAAATCACAAACAAAAATTAATTGATATTTGATGAAATCATATCCCACTATTCCACAATTCCCGTGTGGGTTCTGGGGCCTAATTGTGGGGAAAACAAGAACAGACCCACTGATTCCCCAACAAGCATGTCTCAAGAGTCCACTAGCTGGGGGTTTCCTCAAAAGTCAGACTGCATCTGCTTGAGAGGCAAGGCACCAACAATCTGCATTAAAAAGACAGATCTATAAATTCTGGATAAGCGTGCAACACTCAGGTTCTGGAACAAGACTAAAGTCCAGAAGTGGATGAACAACCAGAACTATCCGCCAAAGTTTTCACCTGGTAAACAAGAAGAAGAAGAAAAATTCCATGACATCCTATATGAAACATTGACGTTTCACTAAACTGTAAACTAATAATTAAAAGTTATTTTACAAGCTGAAAAATAAAAGTTGTTACTAACACCATCGCCATCAAAGGCAGCGGCAAAGTCGTGCTGACCGGCCTTCATGATGTCCACCAGGTCTTTGGCGTAAGTCAGGTTCGGGTCCGGATGCTTGCCTCCAAAGTCTGGCAGAATTTCACAGTTGAGACAGGAATCAGAAGGCAAGCCCATTTCTTCCACAAAGATTTTCCGCAGGTATGGTCCCGTGACTGAAATAATGTTCAAAGCAACTGTTTTTAGAGAGGGATTTGCCACATCATTACTCTTCTGTAATTACAGATATTCAATTATCAAGAATCTAGTGATAACAATGAAAAACAAATTTCTTAAATTATTTATAAAATCAGAACACATTATAATCATTTTTACTAGCAACATCACATAACTGCATTGACCAGTACAGATGTCTACACAGTTTTTAATTATAATATTCTTAATAAGTCACCCAGAAAACATAAGCCACTTCACAGGAAATAATGAATGCAATTAGCTGAAGTTCATACTTATTAAATCAGATCAAACAAAATTATGAATTATCTATATTTATACAACTCATATCTGCAACACTTTATGGCATAAGCGGTAGGACTACACAAGATACAAACACCATCTAGCATATTATTTTTTCCAACAATATAGACACTGTATTATCCACCAAAAACAAGCTCTATCTAACAAATACTTTTTCAAAAGTTTGAAAACAAAAAAAGAAATTACATGTGGTGATTACACAACAGAATGATTTTTATAAAAGTTGTACATGACAACCTCAACAGCATACATCATATGGTCAGAGCCAGATGACAGCTTCCCCGTATGGGTTTCTTCGGGACACATTATGTTAAAAAAAAATAAATTGATAGAGACCCACTACCCCCCCCCCCCCAAAAAAAAAAGGATGTAATAAAGATCAACTAATTAGGGATGTTTGGTTGGAAGTCAGAGTGCGTCTACCTGTGAGGCAAGGAACCAACAGTCTTACAGACATGTAGAGTGGACGAGCATGCAAAACTCAAGTTCTAGAACAAAACTTTAGTCTAAAGGTGATCAAACAAACAAGAACTTTCCACCGGGGTTTACAGCTGGTGAATGCGAAGAAGAACAAAAAGAGGTGACAGCTTACCTCCATTCATTGCATTCAAGAGAACTCTCTTGGTCTGTAAAAAAGTTTTGATGGCTGGAAAATCAAAAATCTGCTTCATAAACTCCACATAATCAGCAGTGTTGTCAATAACTTCCACCACAAACGGCTCTCCACCGACGGTAAACTTGGAGGTCCCCAGCTGACCAATGTCCACTTTCAAGTTTGAAACAATCTTGTACTCTTTTATTGTTTTAGTCAGCTCATAAATCTTGTTAGTAACACCCTCGGGGGCTGGACCTGAAAAAAAACAAATCTAGAAATAAACAATCCTGTTAGCTTTTATTGTTTTAGTCAGCTCACAAATAGCAACACCCTTGCATCCTGGCCCTAAATAAACCACTTTGTGTGTAGAAGAATGTTCTTCAACCCATTGGCCGCAACCCATAGGTGGGCAAGGAAAGTTCTAGGTGGGCGGCACAAAAATTATCTTTAATCCTGTAATGGTGAAGGGTAGGTGGTGTTTACCTTCCAGTCTGTATGACTAACACCTCAATGACTTTCAAGCAAAGAAATCAACATGATGTTATTGCAGCACATCATCTATCAGAAACGATTCTCCAGACACATATATAAGATATTTTAACATCTAAGCAGCAGCATGAATCACATAAGCTGAAAACTGTACTTCTGTGACACTGGACTTAACAAGTATATTTTTCCATCTATATTTGCTTTTGTTTCGTGTTAGGTTAGATGTCAAGTGGGTCGCAAAACAATTTACCCTGTTTTGGTGGGCCGCGGATATAAAAAGGTTTGAGAACACTGCTCTAGAAAATGTAATAACTTTTTTTTTATGGACAATTATGACCATAAATACATGTTAGATCTTCTGTGTATCTATGTGAATTCACACGATACATGTTAGATCTTCTGTGTATCTCTGTAAATTCACATGCTTGCCTGTTGCTGTGAAGTGCAAGAGTTTGCTCCCTAGAGTGGCATCTTCTTAATCCAGATTCTACAGATATGAGAAAATGCCTGTAAATAATGTCAACAATCTGATTACAATGAAAAATCTAAGTCAGTGCACTCTGGAATAGCTCACAGGTGTTTAATCTCTCCCAGCAGAAGCTGAAGGTTGTAGACGCTGGATGTCCCTGTCAGCATTATAGAAGTTGCACGTCAAAACTAACGTTCGGTGGTCACTGCAGCAAGTTCCATTCTCATCTGTCCACTCTAACAACCACACTGAACATGGCGTAGCTAGAGTCATGTCAACATAGACCAGGCTGTCGTCTACTGTTTGTAATATTTTCCATCTGCCTATCTTGAATGCTCCACTGATGCACCTTGAAGTTAACATTTCAGCTCTCTAATATCCATGTAGCTACATGACCTAGAGAGCAGATTCCTAAAGATCTGAGGCTCCTACCTGTAGCATCTTAAAGTCATCATCATGTAGAAGGTCCTTTGCAGAACGTCGCTCTCATCACGGTCTGCCTGAAAGAAACTCAGTCTCTCGCCAGTTCTCCAACTTTATGTACTTTCATACTAAAGGAGTCACTTACATCCTGTACCCATCTTCGTGTCGGTCGGCCCCTGCCCCTCCTTCCTGGTACCATGCCTTCTGCTATAATTTTTTCCGATCCGTCCTGATGCTTGATATGACTAAAATATTTCAGCTTCCGAGACAGGATGCTGTTTATTAGCCAATCTTCCTTGATGTTCAGATCTTTCAAGATGTGAGTATTTCTCCTCTTTTTTGTCCAAGATATTCTGAGAAGCATCTTCAAGTACCACAGTTAAAAATTCCAGAATGTTATAATGTAGACGGGTCACAGGTCACAGCGAGCCAGAGACCACAATCCCTTTTGTCAGGGAAACTCATTTCAGTGCCAGTTAGGCAGTCTGCACATTTATTCACTACTACTGCTCCGTTCATGAGTAAAAATTTACGGAGACCCCTGGGGATCATCACCGGAGCTACAGTGTGCGTGCTTTGCAAGACGTTCTGTGCCACATGTCTAGCCATTCTGTTGAGAGAGACTAGGTAGAACCTAGTGCAATGAAGTCGACCAGCTCAACTTTAACGTTTTAACCTTCATTCTCCCAGAGGAAAATGATATGCCCTTTTCTATTTCTGTGATGATTCTTATCTCTTTTCTTCTTCCATTTTCCTCAAAGAGAGCCTAGCATTCTTAACCACTCAGCCTTCTGCATCTTGATGCTTTTTTTCACTATTGTTATTGCCTTTTTCTGGGACAGAGTCATAAAAGCCCAGGAAAACACACCAAGAGCAACAACAAAAGCAACAATTAAAAAAAAAGTAAAGTAAAGGACCCTTGTCCACGCCTTTAGGCGTATAGGACATACAGGGCTAGACCTATAATTATATAGACCAATTCGCACAAGATAGGGGATGTGGTCAGCATCATGCCGGCCGCCTCTACTTCCCGGGACTGCACCCGGTACCCTCGGTCATTTTAAAATAAATTCTTCACCAGGAAGCAAACCCACGACCTTTCGATCTGCGGCTAGCGTCTAGCTGCTCCGCCACAGGGACTCCCACAGCAACAATAACAACAACTTAAAAAAAAAATGGATACCTCCATTATCAGTATTATACTTGATCCCAAAGTCGCCATCAGGTCCTCCTGGGTTGTGACTGGCTGTCAACAGAAATCCTCCACTGAGTTTATATTTGCGAATAATGTGGGAGCAGGCTGGAGTTGACAAGATGGCTTTTTTGCCGATCACAATTTTGGAGACCTGAAATTTGATTATAAAAAGATAAAAATTACATATTAATTCTGTGTTCTTCTGCTTCACTCTGGGATGGAGGCTGTGCTGGCTTTAGATATAAGCTAAATAAGCCACATCTTAGGGCCTGATAATCTGCAGGGGCCTCTTTAATTCATTTTCCCCCCACATGGAATTTTCTTTTTATATATTGACATAATTGAAATGTTTTCCATAGAAATTTGCTTAGTTTATTAAAATATTTTTTGTTATATCATCTCGGTAGCTGCGGCGGAGGGCGCCCCAACACAGTGTCAACTAAGGAGGGTGGGGGGGAGACCGTAGCTGCGGCGGAGGGCGCCCCAACCCAGTGTTAACTAAGGAGGGTGGGGGGGGGGAGAGGGGGGGGTGGGAGAGACCGTAGTTGTGGCGGAGAGCGCCCCAACCCAGTGTTAACTAAAAAGGGTGGGGGGAGGGGGGGGGAAGACCGTAACTGCGGCGGAGGGCGCCCCACCTCAGTGTTAACTTTTCGGCGACATGCCTGAGCAATGGTCATGTCATCAGTGTTGGTATGAATTTTTTTTAATGACCTTGACTCCCAGGTGGACCCAGCCTTGAGCGGGTACCAGTTGCAGTCGTAGGAGGTAAAGGCGGCATGCGTGATGCTGATCACATCATCCTCCAATGGGTTCCGATGGGTCTATGAAATATAGGACTAGCCGGCTGTCTACCGAATAATGGTCCCAAATTATCGAGGCGGAAAATATACCCTAACAGAGCCTCAGTCACGTGTCAATTGCGCACTTCCGCCGTCTTAAATTGCGCGCTTCCGGCGACTTCCACCACTGCCACTACGCCCGGCGTGGATTGGGGCTAAACTAGATGGCTGGGACTCAGGAGCAGCAGCTACCACATCTCCTGCAGCTTCCTTAATTTTATTTACTTGTGTGTCCTAGCCATCTAGTTTAGCCCCAATCCACGCCGCGTTAGCGGCGTGTCGGATACCCTCGGCGGTGGTGGAAGTTGCCGGAAGTTCGCAATTCGGCGGTGGCGTTATAGTCCCGGAAGTGGGCAACAGACACGTTACTGAGGCCCTGTTAGGGTATATTTTCCGCCACGATAATTTAAGACCGTAATTCGGAGGATGACCTAATTTATAATCTATTTCTCAAAAGCAAACTTACCCCATTCCCAGCTGCAATTCTGATGATTAAGTGTGCCGCCTCCTCACAAAAGAAGCGCCCATCTCCGCCGACAAGCAGCACAGAGCCCTTTAACTTGTCGCCAAGTCCAGCCCACAGACCGGCTTGTACAAAGTTCTCCGTGTAGTGGGCTTGCTGGAACACCGTCACCGCTTTCCTCAAACCGCTGGTTCCCGGTTTCTGTCCGTCAAACGGCGACGTCTTGACGGTTTCCACTGTGTACGACGTTGTTCCTCCACTCATGATTGTGGTTGTTTGTGATTGTAAAGGATGCCTTTTGTAAAAAACACTAAACAGTTATCGTTGACGAACGGCAGCTTCACATCTAGTGCCGCTTGCAGACGATAACGTAACGACCTTTAGGTCTATGTTGCCTTGAACTTTGCTGACCTTGGCCGTGTACACGCTTGCTCGTCCGGATCCGTACATTGTTAATGTATGCTTTCTTCATCTTTTTGCCATTCCTTTCCTGTCTGCAACTTTCTGATACTCGTAGATAATGCATGTAGAAATAATTAATAAAAAGAGAATTTACCAAAAACGACAGAAACAAGCGCCAAAGTATGGCGTTTATGTAACACGGTTAGGCAC